CCGTCGTAAGGGGAATCCCTGCTCCCCCCCCCCCCCCCCCTCTTTTACTTTTCCTCTGCCCCCTCCAGCCAGGGCAACGAAATGAGGGATGATGGGGCGGCCGTTCCGGTGCGCCGTGATGGTCCTGCTGGTCCTGTTGGCCCTATCCCGGCCCAGCCAGGTCCGGCCAGGGGCTCTGGCCCGCTACGGCCATCCCGGCCCTGCTGTTCGATCTCCTGCAGGAAATGAACCCCAGGCTGCCGGCCGTGCCGCCTGCTGCAGCGAGGCCTCACTCACCGCCGCCATAGGGCCGGGGCCGTGGGGTGAAATACTCCCCTCCGCCACCCCTTCCGCACCCCTCGCTGGAGCGATGTGAATAACGCCCCCTCCATACGATGTATAGTCTCCCCACCCACCACCCCAGCCACTTCTCTCTTTATCGGTGTCCCAATTATATACATGATTATGGCAACTCACATTTCATTTCCCGTCTCGTCTGCTTGCAGGCGTCCGAATGGGGGAGAGCGTCCCTGAGGCCAGACCAGTTCAGCCGGTGATGCCGAGGTAAGCAAAATGTGTGTGTGTGTGTGTGTGCGCGCGCGCGCGCGGGCGGGCGTGTGTGTGTGAGCGTGAGTGTGCGCGCTCGCGCAAAAGAAGGAAAAAGGGGTAAATTTGTCCTTTGAGAAATGGCGGCGTATTCCCTGAGACGTGTATAACTCAATGTGATTTTCACCAGTCGGTGTCGGTCTACCCGACCCAGGCCGCGCGCCCGCGGTCGGCTGGGTAGGCAGTCCGCTCGTCCCGCTTGCAGGAGGAGGAGCCTACCTCCCGGGCGCTGGCGCTGCCGCCCTAGTAAGGGGCCTGGAGCAGGGCGGAGCAGGGCGCGTGCTTTGCATTCCCGCTGCGATATCGACGGGGGATGGAGGGTGAGGGATGTGTGTGTGTAGGGAGGGGGAGGGGGTGACTTGTGGAGGAATCTTGTTGCCAGATTGGAATTTTCGAAGGAAACACGATCGGTAAAGCGGTAAAGCCTATGTGGAGCGTGCGTGTGGCTCGGTTTTCAAGCATAAGGCGCCCATATTTTTGGGGCGCCACGATTCACAGCGTTTTGTGTGTGTGTGTGTGTGTGTGTGTGTGTGTGTGTGTGTGTGATTTCAAGCGATCTCTATTTGCTGGTATCTTCTGCAGTAGCCTCATGTTGTGGTGCTTTTGGTTTAGTGTGGAATCTTTTTCCTCTTTTCTCGGCAGGGTCAGCAGCATGTTCGCTGCGCTCTGGCCCGCCCCCATGCCATGTGCCGACCAGCGCCGACCGCACCACCCTCATGACCGCTGTGTGTTTTGCTGTTGCAGCGAGTCCGCAGTGTTCGCCTCGCCCGTGTCCGGCCGCTGGGCGTACCAGAGCCGGCTGCTGGGGTCGGGGGGTTCCGAGTCCCCCCGCGGCAGCTCCACGCCCCCGGCGGGGCTGCGCTCGCCCTCGCTCGGCCCGCTGGGGGGCTCGCCGCTCGCCACGCCCCACCACCCCACGCCCCACGCGACGCCCCCGCCTCAGGCCTGGGTCTACGGGGACACCATCATCGCCGAGGCCAGGTCGGCGTCGGCGTCCGCCAGCCCCGCCGTGCACCGGTCCATCAGCCTCCAGCTGGCGCAACAGGTAAACGAGGAAGAAGGTGCCTCCGAGAAAGTCTGCCGAGTGAGGAAAGATTGAGTAGAAATCGATGAATACGGTATTGCTTCCCCGGCCTCATTTCCTCTCTAAATCTCTCTTTTCTCATCGGGAGGGATACCCTGCACCCTTTCTCCCTCTCCTCCCCGCCGCTCCAGAGAAGATTTGCTTCGCTTCAAGTGCATGACAAACGACACAGATTCGACGTGACTGCCCTTACTCCCCTCGTTTGCCCGGGGGGTGGGTGGTGGGGGGTAGGGGGGCACCCCGGTGTAAGAGAAGGGAGTTGAGGATGAGAGGGGATTACCCCCACCTCTTTCTCCCGCTCTGCAGCCCTCTCTGTGAAAGCAGCGGAGAAAGGCTACAGTAACATGGCCGTCTTTATCACGTCGACTTTAGCCAAGCCACCCCGACGTGACGTGGGGTCGGCAGGGCCAGCAGCGGGTGTATGTTGGGGGCAGTGACTAACTCGTGCCCGGCTCGTGTCACTGTAAGTGTGCGTGTTGTTGCAGAGCCCGGGGCGGAGGTACCCGGCCGGGTGCGGGCGCGCCTCCGGGGGCCGGCCCCTGAGCGCGGTGAGCTCCATGGGCAGCTACTCGGCGGGCTGCAGCCCGGCCACGGCGCGCCACTCGGCCTCGCTGCTGCCGCCCCCGCCGCCCGAGTTCCTGCTGCCCGACATCTGCGAGTTCAACCCGGGCGCGTCCTCCGGCAGCACGCAGTACGCCTCGAGCAGTGGTAAGGAAGAGACGGCAGCGCATGCCTCATATCCCAAGGGGTACTTTACTTAAAAAAAAATATTCAATTGTATCTACCATATAAAAAACGTAAAAATTAAATAGTCAGAAAAAAAAACAAGAAAAATCTGTGAATTTACAGTAAAGTACCCCTCGTCCACAGCATGCGCAACGCATCATGCTTATTTTTTTTTTGTGCTGGCGGGGCAGGGAATTCATGCTTATTTTTTTTTCCTTTTTCTCTCTCTCTCCCTTTGGCATGGAGGTTGAGCTAGTGCGGCGGGACTGACCCTCGTGTTTGCTCCCGCAGTGCTGGACGAGGGCGCCGAGGGCGACTCGCTGGACGGCGACAGCCCCGGCGCGCTGCAGCAGCAGGAGGCGCTGCGGACGCGCTCGCTGCCGTCCAGCGTGCGCAACAAGCAGCGGCCGCTGGGCTGCGAGGAGGACCTGGACCAGCTCTACGCCAAGGTCAACTTCAGCAAGAAGCGCAAGAACCGCATGCGCCACGACGAGGCGGCCATCATCGCCATCAGCAAGTCGCGCAGCCAGTTCCTCGACAAGATGGCCGCCGAGCAGGACGAGGACGCGCTGGTCGACAACGAGGCCGTCATCGTGTACAACGAGCGCACCGCCCTGTGAGCGGCGGGTGACTCGGCTGAAGACTTTTAGATCTAGCCACTGGTCTAGAAAAAAAAAAAGAAATGTGCTCAACTGGTACGCTGGGTGGATCTTAAGCATAACGAAGCCTCTCCATGAACTCGAACTCGAACGAATGTCGACCTTGAGAAAAAGGATGTGAATTCTGAAAATGTATAATTGAAAAATGACTTTCTTTTAGAAATTGGTAAAAAAAGTCTGTTCAGTTTTAAGGCGCGTGCTGATTCTGGTGTCGATTGTGGTGTAGTACGTGTGACC